ATTTAAGAGATAGTGTAGTCATTTTCAAAGGGAAATGGTTTTTGTTGTTATAAGTCTTAATTAATGTTATGTTTTGATTGTTAAATTGTTTTTACTCATGGATGTACTATAAATGTAAGGTTATTATTCATTATTGATCATTGCTTGATAAAGATACCTGTAAGAGTATTGAAACGTTGTATGTAATAAACTAAGAAGTAGTAAATCCATAAAGTTGTGTTATTATGAACACTTTAAGATAATTTATATAAATCACAGTATTATTAATTTATAACATCACAATGTTCGCATCGTCTCAAAGTTAAATGCTTTTTGGTTTGATTATTAAATAATACGGCAATCTGTATTTATGAGAACAAGAGAATGAATTTCTTCAAATCCAAAAATAGATGACTGAAATATTACATATGGCGGATAAAAGCGTTCTTTGATTACATGCTTTTTGGTTTGATTATTAAATAATAATCCAAAAATAGATGACTGGAATATTTATTGAATGGAAAGTAATTTTTTTTATAAACAAAGATCTTCGGATTTGCAGTTTTCTAACTTGGGCGGATTTGTGATTTGAATCCATGTCACGAGGACAGTAAACAAACTTTTATAGGGTATAGGTCCTATTTATAATAGCTTCTGGTCACAGCTGTATTATGATACTGCTAGTTACAATAAAATCATACATTATAGCTATTTTTATTTATCCTTGGTGCTTCAAATATATTTTGGTTCTTAGGGTGCATTAACGTATTTAAAAATATGTTTTAAAGCTTTACGTCATTTTATTATATCTTTCTACCATAAATAATAGCCCGAATTTAAGTATACCAAAAGTTAAAGAAATATAACCAGTTTTTGAGTCATTCAGATATGACTGCCAAAATTGTCACCAGCACGCATCTTTTTTAGGCTAAAGTCTAACCAGAAAACTTATTGTCCATACATAATAAAATTTATATTTCATTATATTAATCAATTCCATTCCGCCATTAGTTTGTCTTAAACTCGTCATTTGTGTTCATGGGCATCAGGGTCGAGATGGCAACGTTATATGTTTTATTCGTCTAATTTACTATAAAACATCATTCGGTTCGCGTCACGGGTTAACGGCATATTAATAGCTTTATTCACTTAGATGGTTCCTTTACTTATAGTTTATTTTTCGAATTGCTTTTTGTGAGGGGGGGGGGGTAACGCCCTGTCGACACTAGCGACAAACTAGGTCATTTCTGGACTAACATTTGGTTCAATTTTTTTTTCAATAATTTGCTTGCGCGTAGGGGTCTTTAGCAGTGGGGGAAACTGGAGGAACCGGAGAAAACCCACGAGGCTGGAGAGGCGACCCTACTCCTTATCACGTACAACCGGGGACTCCAAATCGATAGGGTTGCTCCTCTCACGATCTCGACGTATCTCGAGTTTTCAATCGTTTGTGTCGATTTCTATCTTCAAAGAAATGTTTCCGAATAATAATACACAGCAACAATATAAAATCAAGTTATAAAATATGCATATAAGCGTGTTTTGTGTTCGCATCTCATATCGGATTATCTTACTTCGTATAGATTTAGGGATCGGTGAGTAAGACTTTCACTCGCTTACCTGAAGGTCCCATGTAGTCTCTATCGTATTAACAAGCTTTTCGAAATGCGATGAGGCCTGAGGCGGTAACTCTGGAACTGCAGGCCACGGAACACTGAAAATCGATAGGGTTATGACCCAAATGGTTAATACCCAAATTGAAAAAAAATTCTGTTCAAAGACATAATTAATCTCCATTGTATATAAAAATCTTGTAGAGATCTATACTACCAGTAGATATCTATGTTCTCAAAACAAACATCTTCTAAAATCTCCAACTATTTTTTAGAGAGTAAGGGCGAGTGAGAAATGGGATTTCCGTCCAATAGACACAACCATGGTTCAAATTTTTATTTCAATAATTTCGTTTGCGCGTAGGGGCTTTAGGTACTAAATAATAGCCGCGGGGTTCGACAGGCGACCTTATTCCTTGTCATGAACATGCATGGGAAGACTCGAAACCACGTCACTTGACTCAGTGACAGAATATGAAACAAACCCTAACAGCTGGCTAAATAAGTCAGGAAACCAAACATATCACTTAAGAGTGACACAAGGTGTAAAAACTTAGTTTAAGACGGGCTCAAAGATCACATTTTGAGAATCTAACTAGTTATACTATATTTTACGGTGGCTGATAAGGGACATGAAAAATAATATAATTTGTTTTTTTATAATTTTCACCTAAGTCAATTTTAATTTCCACCCAAGTCAATTTTAATATAATTTGTTTTTTTTATAATTTTCAACTTCACTGTTTCTAATATCAATTTGTAAAGTTTATTTCGTTGCACAAAATTAACATCCTGATAACTAGTGTTATCTTCCACAGATTTTGCGAATCTGCACACTTCTTGGAGACTCTTTGGATCCATGCTTTGTACCCACGGCCGAATGGATGATTTAAGTCCCTTGATGATGATTGGAAGGAATGTATGTGGTCTGGAATAGAATATCCCATTGTATTCGATTGAACTCTGTCCATGTAGTCATCTACAGATTCACACATTCCTTGATTGAAATCTAGCACTGATGGATCAAATGATCTTTTTTTAAAACGTTCTTTCGGTGCGTCCAAAAATATCTGAATAGGTGTTTCTTCAAATCCGAGAGTTAGAGAATCAAAATACATATTTGCTCTGCCTTCAAGAGAGACCCACAATAAAAGTTTTTGGTTGTGTCAACCTATGTTTCCTGCATTAATTGAGGCTTTAAAACGTTGTACCCAAATGTAAAAAAAATGTCCTTTCTCGCCGTTAAATTTAGCCATGTAAATTGACATTTTTGACTGCACTATACTTTGGTTTATAACATTTTCAACACCTGAGACACGTGGAGTACTACTGTTGTTGTGTGTAGTTGTTTTTTCTGCCATGTTGTAGTTTTGACTTCGTGTACTATACGGGAAAACGGATGATCTCCAACTTCCCTTTTGTCTTGACATGAAGGGGACCAGGTTCTATCTCCACCAGTGAGAACGGACTGCTTTTTTGCGTTCTATATTGAGGGAATCTTGTGTACGAAGATTCTACTACAATAGGTATAGGTTGGGGGTGGTTGCTTACTCGCTTGGCTGTTTCGTTCTCAATTATCCTAAAAGTAAATTAATCTCTAAATCAGATGAGGTTGTTCAACATGTATGTTTATTTCCAGAGTGAATTTTATATATTATATATATCAGTAAAAACAAATATTGAATATAGAATAAAATATTAATAAATGAATAGTAAATTAATTAGATGTCTATTTCTATATGCGTTATTGTAAATGTACACGAATTGTCACATGGAATATTTAAAAAAATGAAATTATAAAATGAGAACCATAAAATGTGTACATAAAGCTAAATATAGGTATCTTACCTAAAGTTTTAAGTAAATTAGTCTCTAAATCAGATGAGGTTGTTCAACATGTATGTTTATTTCCAGAGGGAATTTACATGTTGCTGGGGATCACGTGGCTAAGTGGGTAAGACGCTGGCTCGCTAGCCTGGAGGTCGGGTGTTCGATCCCTGCATTGGCCGAGAAAGATCATCCGGATTTTCCGGCGTGGTTTCCCCTTATCAGTGATGCAGGACGGGGGGCCTGACAAGGACAGCTGTCTAGTCGTTCGGATGGGGCGATAAAACGAGGTCCCGTGTACACATTGGCGTGCACGTAAAAGATCCCTTGGCAGTTGGAATTCGATATAAGAGTAGGCCGTAGTGCCGCTGCCCGGGCAAAATTTCCCTCATAGCACACTGTATGGCATATCCCCGTCTTCACTAGCCCGAGCAGAACAGTAGGACGTTAAACCCCATTTCATTTCATTTAGATGCTGCTGTTGTTTATTAAAGATTTAACGTCCAATACAATGAATATGATATTATGGACAGGTTTAGATGTTGCCATCTGCTTGAGCTTATATACATGTTGGTAACCAGGTCTGATTTAGAGCGTCTTAAGATTAGCTCATTAAACAATTAATATAATAGCTTTAATTAAACAGCTGGATCAGGTATAAGAGTACAGTTTGAATGAGCTTAAATTATAAATCTCTAGACCTTTAGGTACAATGAATTTAATTTACAACTGTTCTATCAAACTTGAGAGTTGATTTTAACGAATAATGTGTATTAATAATAAAATATATACAAAACTTTAAATACATAATATTTCACAATTAATGTGGTATGTACAGATAGAGTTATACTTTACTCTCTCACAAAAGTATTAATCCAAGAAAAACGCGACTATCGATAAGTATTTAGTACACAACTATAACCCGCTGGAAAATGAAAGTACACGTATAATGGGAAGTTTTTACACACGAACTGAATTCTAGACATATTTGTGGATGTATATATCCAGGCACAAGGTGATCTAAATTCATAACAGTTCGTATCTAACTTCACGGCACAACTGAACGTTGGTGTTTTTTCAAAGAATATAAAATTTACCTGACACAATGACATTGCTAGTCATGTAGCGCGTACCTGAACAACTGAACATTGTCATGCTTTCTACGAACATAATATTTGAGAGTTCTCGAGTCTCGCATACAACATTTTGCTAGTTTTAATCCCTTATATAGTCACATCTGGCATTTCACAGACATTCAGATAGTTCCTTGGCCTTAGAATACAGTGTTCCAATTAAGAGTCCCCGACCAATAATCATGTTAGCTTTATTTCGCCGTTAACACATATTAAATCCTGAGGAATGGATCTATAGGAGAGAGAGAGAGAGCGCTTGCGCGTAGGGGTCTTTAGCAGTGGGAGGAAGCCGGAGGACCCGGAGAAAACCCACGAGGTTGGACAGGCGATCCTACTCCTTGCCACGTACAACCGGGCATTCGAAACCACGCCAGTCGACTCAATGACAGACTTTATGATACAGCGCGCCGAGCTAACCATTCAGCCATCCACCCCCCCCCCCCCCGGGTCTATAGGAAGGCCTGTGTTAGCTAACATATAATTACGTAATGCCCCATGCAAAAAAGTGAAGTATAGCATGATTAAACCAGCATACAGCTCTTACATGATTTTGTTAAGTTTCATTTCGCCGTTAACACACATATTAAAACCTGTCTTCGTCCTTACATAATTTGATGACATCCCGTCCGACTTGAATGCACCTCGGCAAATCTACAGCAATGATTATAACGAAGGGTATTACTAGAAAAATGATTCCAATGTAACCGTTAACACACATATTAAAACCTGTCTTCGTCCTTACATAATTTGATGACATCCCGCCCGCCTTGAATGCACCTCGGCAAATCTACAGCAATGATTATAACGAAGGGTATTACTAGAAAAACTATTCCAATATAGCCAATAGCAGTAGAAGTGGGTCGTTGATCTTGTGCACTTACTTTTTTCTGAATGACAGCAGAAAGGTTTTTCTTGTCAACCGTTAACTCGTTTACGATGCTTTCGACTGCCGCTTGTTCTGCGACGGGATCAGGGGTCACAACGATCACGTTACGGCACACCAGTGTCCTCATAATTCCGTCCGATCCAATAGCCCCTTTAATCCCAGTAGAACCAGAAGCATTTACTCCAAGAGAACTGAACGACGACTGTATGGTTGTGTCGATAGTTTGGACCATCTCTGAAGGACACGGAGAAGAAGAGTACAGAACTGTCGACGAACACGATCCTGTGACGTCAACTGTTACGGTATCACACGACTGGGTCTGTGTTTCTGTTACCGTGGAAACGACCAACGAGGAACCACCAATTGTCACAGTACTAATCTGTAATACCGTTGTTATAATGTTTCCTATTGTTTGGGTAACTATGGAAACAAGAGGTAACGTTGTTGTCATGGTTTCTGTCGCCGTTTCGGTAAATGTACTAACATCTGTTAAAAATTCTGTAGTTGTAGACCAGTTTGTGGAATATTCTGTTACTGTGTAATTGAACATTTCTGTGGCTGTTATCGTGATCGATGATGTAATCGTTTCAGTAGAAGTATTTGTAATTGTTGACGTTTCTGTGGTTGTGCTCGTGACAGTTGGACATATTATCGTAGATGACACTGAAATAGTGAAATATTAAGTAGAACATAGATATTGGACACGAGAAGAGGCAGTCTCCACCTTTCTAAATATGAACGTCATGACCGATATGCCCACTTGAAATTTTTATTTTAGTAATAAAAAGAAGGACCTTGTTTCTCCAAAGCTTAACTAAAAATAAAATCCAAATTTTAGTAGATACTTCAATTTTGATTGGCTAAGCACTAAAATCAATCTAATATTATCCAATCAAATTACTACAATTTGGATTTTATCTTAGTTAAAATTTCGCGAAACAGGCCCCGGGTCCATATACATGCACAAATCAGTATACAGCAAGACAATTAGGGTATTAGTATTATACAGATACGTCCACTGAACGTTTCCTGCAGCAGTTGCAGATGATACATTGAGCCAACGCCTTGATTGTATTCCCTCACGACTCGAGTCTAGTCCCCAGTACTGAGAAATGTGAGAAAGGAAGACATTTTAAATACGGCAAAACTAATGATTATTAAATAGAGCAGCTTGTACAGCAAAATTAACATCCATAATTTCAAATTTCAAAAAATTTAATTTCACTCTTTGGTTGGGTGCCCAATCTCTACACGCATCTGTCCATAGATTTCAAATGACAAATCAATATTGTAGTATGTGGACGTCGTTACCACTGAACGTATCACGTCGACGGAACTCCATTGGTAAAGTAGTATCTGGGGTTCCGAAAGACTCAAGACAAAAATACCATATACCTAGAAACTTTGGTTTGATTTTACAGGAAGCCGCCGTATTCAATCTCGGCGTTGTCCGAGAAAGTTCATCAGGATTTTCCCGTGTGGTACCCCCTTGTCAGTTGTACAAGACGGAGTAAGATGAGTACATTATGTAGTCGTGAATAATCTTGGTGTACGTCACTTACCTGATATCAATGGTTCGTTAGCACAGTCTGTAGGATCGGAACCATCATCGGCTACGTCAGTATATACCATGCTGTCTATTGAAGTATCTAGAATACACAAACGTTATTTCTACACCATATCGATGCTTCATATTTTACGAGCGTACATAGAACTGAATCATGTGTCTCATAGAACTGTATCATGTGTCTCGTAAAACTGCATTGTGTGTCTCGAGAACTGCATCATGTGTCACATAGAACCGCGTCATGTGTCTCATAGAAATGTATTATGTGTCTCTTAGAATTGCATCATGTGTCCCATAGAACTACATCATATATCCCATAGAACTAAATCATATATCCCATAGAACTATATCATGTGTCCCATAGAACGGTATCAGGTGTCCCATAAAACGGTATCTTGTGTCCCATAGAACTACACTATGTCACATACTCTACAATAAACAAACAATAGAACCTCGTCATGTGTCCCACTGTCTTGTAGACAGTTAAAGATGCATTGTGAGGAACTTTAAGCCAATTTCATTTCATGCATTGTATAAGAGCTAAATCTGCCTATTGCAGATCGTTTTATGGCCTTATATGAATTATTATACAAATATTTACTAAGATGATAAATCCATAATCAACTCCCTACGTCTTCGGATGGCTCCGATATGAAGTAGATTAGAATACCACCGCAGCCATTTAAGAGTTTAACGATAAACTAGATAATCGAGATTGTCAAGTTCGGACGATAATAAAACAATCTAAGTTACTGTCAAATCTTCAAACACTTATAATTTCGCTTAGAATAAAGTAATTTTCAATGAATTCATTTTTCATTATGTATGTTTGTACTATTGTAGCAAAAACGGCCAGCACGTTCTCTAGATCTTTTATAATGCATATTTAAGCAAAATAATACAATAAAGGTTGTACCATGATTCATAGAAATAGGACTACCCAATTCAACATTTCATTTTTACCTAGATCAAAGAGATTTAGTTCCTTTAAGTATTTGCAATAAATAGAAACGCTTACCATATGAACAGTTCTTAATAGCGATTGTGCTGTTACTGGCATCTGTGGCTAGCAGCATTAAACATACTTGATTTAGATTACCCGTCAGGAAACAGCCAGATGTATTATCACAGCTAGTTTTACACTCATTCAATGTTGGTGTTGAAACACTGTCTTGATCGCTAAATGAAAATGCTGTCATCGTTGACTCACTAAAGCTGCACGTGTCATCTGAAATTAAGACAACGGAATTTCTTTAAAACGTTACACTGTATTATACTATATGAACTGGGCACGGCATCATCGCGGTCATTTAGGACATCGGGGCGCCATATCAATATATTATACTGTGATGCAATTCCACCCCACCCCCCCTTAATTGCTGCCCTTTCAATGCTAGCCTTAAATCCACTGCCTGTGCTAGACCCTTTTTTGAGGATAAAAGGAGATTTGGAACTAAATGCAAATCAGTGCTTATGGAAGCTTTTATGGAAATTCTTTTTGTGTGTTGGGATGGTCATGGGGTTGGGCTAAGAGGAAAAAATAAAATTTTGGAAATTTGCAAAATCATATAATCACGTGACGTCATGGTGGTCTTTTTGGACTTTTCATTTTTCACTAAAGTTAAGACGAAAACGAATATTTATGGGATATTGTTTTTTTTTCACTGGATGTTGATAAAATATATAAAATGAACAAAAATATCAATAGCAGCCACGAACAATGCCATCACGAACACGCGGACCACGTCTCCCGCTGCCATGACCACGTGTGGATTGCAATACCTTGTTTTCACTATCATTTTCACCCCCAAGTCCCGTATCATTATCAGTATAGTCAGTCAATTGATCTACACTTTCGGGATTCATGAATTGCCTACGTCTTTTATGATCAAGCAGGCCAGCATTATTATCAACATCAGAATTATCGTCAGAATCTACTGCATAGGGCAATCATGTTCACGCTTGTTCATTATGAACGGGAGACATAGTCATAGGTGGAACGTAGCGCAAGAAATCACACACTTTATAATACCAATCACTGTCCTTATTACTATCATTATCAACTAACTGGCAACGAATTATGTGTATCACTCGCCTCGAAATTGTCGACACTGTCTTGGTCAGCGAAGATGCCATTCACGACTTCGCCGAGAGTGCATCCTCTACGTTGTCACTATGCACTCCGCCATTTTACGGCAAATACGGTTTGTCGTTTTGAAACACGTAGACATATGTTATAGTGTATAGAAAATACAGAAGATGGCACTTGCAGTTACGGTGCTAATTTAAATGAGGGCCGTACTGAGTACCCGGTATTACCGGGTACGGGCATTTTAACGACATTTTATAACACCCGGTACTACCGGGTAGACGCAATGAATTATGCTGGGTTCCCACTATCACGATTCGTGCTACGATTGAAATCGTTGATCGTATCGAAACGTATCTGAACATATCTGCACGTACGAGATCGTGGACTCAACAGGGACAATCCTATTGTAACGCATCGCACGGCAGTAGGAACTTGGCATAAACGATGGTAGCGGTGGTGGTCGTCGACTGTATTGCTCATGCAGCATTGGCGGGGTTGGTCGTTAAATATATTGTTCTCAGCGTGGCGGTCGATTGTATTCCTCCCTCAGCGTGGCGGTTGACTGTATTAGTCACTTAGCGTTGATGGTGGTGGTGTCATCGTTGACTGTATACCGTATTCCTACCTCATCGTAGTGGTAGACTTTATTCATCTTTCAGCGTGGCGGTTGACTGTATTAGTCCGTTAGCGTTGGGGGTTGTGATAGTCGTCGTCGACTGTATTCCTCTTCCCTTGGTGGTGATGGTGGTGATCGTCTATCCTAGGCGGATGTATGTATTACTCTCCCAGGGGTGGTAGTGTCCGTCGCATTCAGTGTTTCGTCTACTGTAGCGATGGTAGTGTGGACATAAATAGTTTTGTTTAATTTAAAATCATAGATAAGAGGGGAATTTTTCACACTGAGCTCCAAGACAATCTTATTTTACTCAATACTCAGATATTTATAACTAGGCGGTGCCTCGGTGACTAGGGTCCTTGTACAGGACAGAAAGTCTGGCAATGACGCCGTTTTGTCGTCAGGATGCTGCAATAAATACGAGTTCCTGTGTAAACAATGTCGTGCACGTAAAATAACCCATGACAGTCGGAATTCGAATTAAGTGTAGGAATTCGCGCCGCTCTCCGTGAACAATTGCCTTCATAGTACAGTGTATTATCACTGTCGCTGCACGAGGAACTGTCTCCCCCCCCCCCGCCCCTTGGTTATTGAGACAGCGCCTAACCACTGAAACACCCTTGTCTCCCCCAATGTGAACTACATCTAGAACTTACTTCTATAATGTTCACAAATAAATGTGTTTTGTTCGTCACATGCGCGTAAGTCGAATCCATCGTCATGCTCTCTATAGCAAAATGAATTAGTATCGTAAAGAAAGTCATTAGTACTCCTCCAGTGATACGATTCAGCCAGGTTCGTCCGGGGAGGTGGACATCCGGGACCATCCCAATGTCTGGAAGTCGGTGATGTCCAATATAATCCGGTCCACGGAGCACCAATACTGTAATGATTAAAACACATTTTATAGAATGTTTGGATGTGGATGATCTCAAATATAAACCGATCCACGGAGTACCAATACTGTAATGATTAAAACACATTTTATAGAATGTTTGGATGTGGATGATCTCAAATATAAACCGATCCACTGGAGTACCAATACTGTAATGATTAAAACACATTTTATAGAATGTTTGAATGTGGATGATCGCAGATGTAAACCTATCCACGGAGTATCGAGTCTGGAATAATTAAAGGACAATATTGGTGTCAGTCATTATTACATATTATGTTTATAGAACTGTTATTGCTCTTTACTTCAGTCAGATATATAGAAGGATAACTCGTGTTTGTCGTCACTCCCCGTTTATTCAAGTGTTTGTTACACATATCCCTTAGCAATGATCTTTGTGTTAAGGTTATATTTGGAATGTATTTAACCAGTCCTATCACATATGTAATAATGACTGACACCAATATTGTCCTTTAAACCACATTTTATAGATGCTGCTGCTTTTGAAACAATCTGATTAAAATACATTCGACTTAACATTGGATGGTTCATGTAAAGATAAAATTTCATTGGCTTATTTTCCACATTAAAAGATTCTTTCCGATCACAATGACGTATTGACAACCAAGCAACAAAATTTGTTCAATAAAAAAAAAAATGAAACGAAATAGGATCTGTGTTTTAATCAGATTGTTTCTAAATCGTGTATTTGCGGTAATTATTTATGATATTTTCTACTGGAAACGGGGTTTAATATCCTACTTTTCTTAACCAACATGGGGATCACGTGGCTAAGTGGGTAAGACGCTGGCTCGCTAGCCTGGAGGTCGGGTGTTCGATCCCTTCTTTGGTAGAGAAAGTTCATCCAGATTTTCCAGTTTCCAGCGTGGTTTCCCCCTTGTCAGTGATGTCTAGTCGTTCGGATGGGACGAAAAACCGAGGTCCCGTGTACACATTGGCGTGCACGTAAAAGATCCCTTGGCTGTTGGAATTCGATATAAGAGCAGGCCGTAGTGCCGCTGCCCGGCCAAATTTCCCTCATAGCACACTGTATGGCGTATGTCCGTCTTCATTAGCGCAGTTTATAAGCAGAAAAGTAGGACGTTAAACCCCATTTCATTTCATTTCATTTCTTAATCAACATGACTAATGAAGTCGGGCGTACAGTGTGATGTGGCTGACAATTTTGAGTGGACAACGACGTTCACTGGCACGGCCTGGTAAAGGACAGCGTATAATCGTTCGGAATGTACGAGTAAACGAGATACCGTGCAAACGACCACAGTAAGTTTTAATAACTGAACAATATAGACTGAACAGCAAAAGAAACATCACTTTTTCAAATACAACCAAACAAATAGAGAGAATGGAGTCAATTAACACAAAAATCGATATCCAAACACGTTGTAGGCTTTTTTATGCATGAACGGGTTTAGGGAACCTGCTTAAAGTGTTAGATTTTTGCGCCAAATGGGCACGCTTTACATGTCAAAAAACAAAAAACTAAAGGTCTGAAAAAGTAACTAACTTCCCCTAATGGTTTTGATACAGAAAGAATGCCACGATTTAGCCCTCAAAAATGTAAACAATCCGATGGACGCATGACTGGTGTGTAGCGCCCCAGAATCATTGCAAATGATGTAATCAAATACTGGCTAATGAAGACGGGCATACGCCATACAGTGTGCTATGAGGGAAATTTTGCCCGGGCAGCGGCACTATCGCCTACTCTTATATAGATCTTTTACGTATGCATACACGGGACCTCGGTTTTTCGTATCATCGAAGGACTAGACAGCTGTCTTTGTCAGGCCCTCCGTTCTGCACCACTGACAAGGGGAAACCACGTCGGAAAATCCAGATGAACTTTCTCGGTCAATGCAAGGATCGAACACCCGACCTCCGGGCTAGCGAGCCAGTGTCTTAACCACCTAGCCACCGTGGCTCCACATGATGTAACTTGGTCGCCCTATTGAACGTTTGTTCATCAATCGCCAGCACTTACAAAATCGCTTTGAAACAGCCACCCCAACTGTACGACAACTGATTGGCACCCATCTGAGACCGATCATTGCTGATACAGTCCGCCGTTGACTAGCCAATACATGAGATGTGGCCGACCAGACAGGGTACCCATTCTGACAGCCCGTCATCGTCCAATTCGACTGCAGTGTCAACACTAGCGACAGCAGCAATGTTGAATTATTGTACAATGAATTTGTTATAAATTTCAGAACTTAAAACAAAGGTTTTAATTCATCAAATTCAGTGCGATGTTCAGTATAGATACATATCTTTGTGATCGACGAGTGTTTTATTGAAATATAATATACCATATGTAACCACGGTACTGGTTATGCGAGAAATCGTGTGTTAACAGCAAATCAGATCAGCGCTCGTCTTTAAACAGACACTGGTGTGAGAGTGAGTGGCCAGACGATTCGGAATCGACTGCATAGGGGTCACCTTCGCGCCCGACGTCCTCGCGTGATCCCTTGTTTGAGAGATCATCACATTCAGGCAAGACGTCGTTGGTGTAGGGATCGTCAACACTGGGATAATCGACGCTGGAGCAATGTGATGTTTTCAGATGAGTCAAGGTTCACTGTTGATTTTTTGGACAGACGTAGGAGGGTGTGGCGTCGTCGAAACGAGCGCTTCCAAGACGTTAACGTCATCAGACATGATCGATTTGGGGGTGGTTCTGTTATGGTGTGGGGAGGCATCACTGTTGCTGGAAGAACGGCTTTACATGTTGTTGCAGAGCGTGTTACAGGCCAGTACTACCGGGACAACATCTTGGCAGTCCATGTTGTGCCGTTCGCACGACGTCATGGCCGCCGTTTCACCTTCCAGGATGACAACGCAAGATGTCACAGGGCCAGGATCGTTACAGGTTACCTCCAACAACAGAACATCACCACATTACCTTGGCCAGCACTGAGTCCCGACCTCTCCCCCATCGAGCATGTCTGGGACATGCTTGGACAGAGGTTACGTCAACGTCAACAACGTCCTGCCAATGTCCAAGAACATGCTGCTGCGTTGCAACAGGAATGGGACAATCTGGACCAAAATGACCTTAGACGTCTCATTAGGAGTATGCCACGTCGGATCAATGCTTGTTTGGCAAACAGAGGAGGATTTACCCGTTACTGACTTGGTTGTGATGCTGTGGTAACTTTGCTGTTTGACCCCGGGTATCATTTTACCCTTATAATGGTCAGTCTGTGCCTTACTTAGTCTAACGATCATTTGGAATAAATCGATGAATGTGAACTTCATTTCATTTTGTCATTTGTTTCTTCGTCAGTTTCATTAGGTGACTTTAATAACACTTAAAAATCAAATATCCCCTACTTTTTTTGAATAGTATAGAAAGTTGGTTTTTTAGAATTGCTTTTATGTAAGTTCTTGCCTTTTGTATGATGTTTATTAGCATTTTTCAAGAAGATATTTTTTAACCGAATAACCTTTTCTAAGTGATAATGTTTTTCTTTACGGTTTTATTTTTGAAAATACGAAAAAGAAAGAAAATTTTTCTATTGTTTCCGTGTCTGGCTTTGAACGCCTTCGGGAATGGAGATTAATATTCTATGAAAGCTGATTGTTTCTGTGAAGATTATTAATTTTTTTTGTGTGTGTGTGTGTGTGGGTGTGGGTGTGGGTGGGTGTGTGTGTCCTTTCTGCAAATCGGATTTCTCATAATCTAACCATAGGATCTTTCTAAAACTTTGACTTACCCCCCCACCCAAAAAAGAAAAAAATGGGTGGCAGCTCTTGATTAAATATATTTTCAAAACGTTTTACGAATCCGAGATCGCCGAATTTTTCGAACGAAAAAACTGACAATGCATAGTCGTAACTTTGTGATTTTTTTACCTATTAATTCTTTTTTCTTTGAGTACCTTGACGAAAATCATTTTCAACTGCAATTTCAGATTTTCGAATTTCGAAAACTGGTCGCTGTGATTTCGTCCCGGAAGTTGAGACCAACTTTATAACTTCTTTAAAATTTGCACGATTTTTTTTTATGAAATTTGGAATGTAAGTAGATCTTACTAATGCGACTTGAAAGATGGCATTTGAAATTTTCTAAATTATCTCCCCTTGGATAAATTAAGGATCAAAATTTTCAAAAAAATCGATGAAATATAGGTCAGATTTGCTTGAAATTTTTTTTGTATACTACCTAAGAAATTACTAATCCGTACACAAAATATGGAGTGTGTCGAACGAACCGGAAGTGCCACCATCTTGAAACGTGAGAAATCAATAAGGCTTTTGAGATATTTTTCTTACAGACATGGGGGTTTCATTTTCTGAATCCTTGAAGGAAAGCTTAAAAATCTATCGGATCAGAATTTCGATTTCGGTCAAGCGATGGTCACCATTTTGAACTGAGTATGAGAAAAGGTGAAAAATCCACGTTAACGCAAGTTAAAATAAACACAATAGGCCGTAGTCTGAAGAATACGTCTCCTATTACCGAAATGAATAGACGGGATTAGGGTCGTGTTTTTGGTATTTGAAAATGTCACCAATTCGAATTTTGCCTTTGACATTTTTCATGCCGACAAAGTTGTTTACGAGTGAAAAATCGCATTTACTTCGCGAGATTTTGACCAATTTTAATGATTATTTTTTCTTGTTGAGATTCTTTATATAACCCATGACATGTGACAGGAAGTGACTGTGAATATGAAAGCTTTCATATCTGCTTTGCAGATCTAGTTTGTTTTGTTTTGTTTTTTTTAAGTTAAAATGTTCTTTAACAAGTTAATATGAGTTAATTATCAAAGCTCCTAAATCATGGCCATTTTCGTATTCAAACCATTTCAGAGAGTTAAAGAAAACCTATTCTTGATCATAATTTTTTTCTGGACTCCAAATCTAGGATTTAGGTGGAATTTTGATCGGAAAACCTTTTTATTTATTTATTCATTAAGAAAATATTATTTGGTGCCTTCGACCATAACCACTGATTCTGAGTGGGAGACTGATTTTGAGTGGGAGATTGGACAGCGGCATGTTCATTGGTCTGTATAACTATTTTCCAGACTGTTAAAGCGTTAATTCATTTCTATTAACGCATTAATAGGGACATTTCGCACCGGTACGAAAACGAATACGAAAACGAAAACGTTATCGATTCGTGTGTACTTGTGACGTCAATCCGTAATGAGTATTCGGCCAGTGAAAAACGTTACGCGTATGGAGCTGGATTTACGTAGGTATGCAAACGAATATGTTTCTTGTCTCATATATTGAATTTTTCACCATTTTTCGAGCCTTTGTGTATATTGTTGATTGTGTAGCGTTCGTAGAATGTGCTCACAAGGAATATTCTGCTTGATTTGTTGTACATCTGCCGAAAAATCGATTGAAAACTTTGCCTTGAACGAGAAGTTCATGGAGTTTAAATTAACGCCATCTAGTTATTATCGTACGTCGGATTGTGTACCGATGCGAAAGGTCCCTAATCTCATTTATACGTTGCTGTCAGCCCCGATCGACACCAATACAATCGGATAGTGTACTCAACGTAACTTGTCTGAAACCCATTAATATTGATACGGCTGAAAGTGCATAAAGCAATATATTGATCTTAAAGATTAAAAATAACCTATAATTGCAGTTCATTGAGTTACAGTTAAATACAGCATATACTTATTGGGTCCCGTGTACCTTAAACAATCCCTTGGCAGATGGAATACGATATAAGAATAGGTCATAGCGCCGCTGTCTGGGCCAAATATTCACCATACCGTCTTTATTAGTGTGCATTACTTGCGCGGGGGAGAGATGTTTGCCGAGAGAGAGTCATGATTCCATCAAGGGATCTTTCCTCTTTTTCATTCCTTCCGAAGGACTAGACACATTATCATTGTCAAATGTTATCCCGTCTTTACTAAAGGGATCTTTCCTCTTTCCCGTCCTATATCCGTGGTAGTCGTCATTAATAACCGGATATCCTGACGATGGATGAAGTAAAAACCGAGTTGACTTGTTAAATCGAATATTACTCACTCTGAAGAAAATGCACCGTTTTTCATAGACATATATAGTTGATATTTTTCTTCTGTTTCGATATTAATTAAATATCCGCCATTTTGTCGGCACACTTCCCTTGCCTCCTTCCAAGTTCTCGCGTCAGTAAATAACATATAAACCGTCCTTCCTCTTAGACTCCCAGCTGAAATATATACAACAATAGACTGTAGCTTAACGAGGAGCCACGGTGGCTAAGAGGGTAAGGCGCTGGCTCACTAGCCTGGAGGTCGCGTGTTCGAATCCCTGCATTGGCAGCGAAAGTTCATAGAAATTTTCCGACGTGGTTTCCCCTTGTCAGTGGTGCAGAAAGGAGGGTCACTGTCTAGTCGTTCGGATGGGAGGAAAAACCAAGGACCCGTGTATACATTGGCGTGCACGTAAAAGATCCCTTGGCAGTTGGAATTCGATATAAGAGTAGGCCATAGTGCCCCTGTCCGGGTAAAATTTACCTCACTGCACATTGTATGACGTATGCTCGTCTTCATTAGCCCAGTCGGAGCAGAACAGTAGGACGTTAACCTCATTTCATTTGATTTCATGTAGCTCAGCGAGTAAGGCATTGGCTAGTTCACTAGGGTAGTCCTGGGTCTCACTGTGTGGACATCATTAGTAGAGTAATAACATATGTTCAGCCCTCGTGAGGTGGGCAATACCTTTAAAACTTTTTCATTCTGGGTGGCACAAATGCTTAAAGAAATTACTATCGCGTTCGTCTGGGCTTTAACCATTGTTAACCGCTTTGTTTCTACGGGGGCTGGCTGAAAGTACTAAGTCTTAAAAGGATAGATCAGTTCGGTTGAAATAAACTTTTGTCATCAACAAGTACAATCATTGAATGAATCATAGACATAAGAATTGCAACTGTCGTGATATTATTTACTTTGTGCCAGAAATGGACAAAAATCGCAATAGGGCAGTCATCGAGTAGCTGCAACCGAAAGTGTGCAGATCTCGAAGGGGACTATGTAAAAAATAAGTGGAAACCATCTACTTTGTACAGGTTTTTCACAGATCGGCTTAGAACTTTTCAGTTAGCGAGAGAGAGAGAGAGAGAAATGGGGTCTTACGTCCACTCGACACAAACTAGGTTATTTCGGGACTAACATATGGTTTAATTTTATTTCAATAATTCGCTTGCGCACAGGGGTTTAGCAGTGGGAGAAAAATCTGACGACCCGGAAAAAACCCACGAGGTTGGACAGGCGACCCTACTCCTTGTCATGTACAACCGGGGATTCGAAACCACGCCTGTTGACTCAATAACAGGTCTTATGATACAGCGCGAACGTGCTAACCATTCGGTCACCCAACCCCCCTTTTCAGTCAGCCCTTGTACATTAACACGACTACGGTGTTATATATATAACAATTTACCTGCATATACTAAGTTATATATAAAATAGTTTACCTGTAGAAGGTACATCTATTACGCTGGCTTGTATTGCTGATATGATAACCACCAAACACACAAACATCATCTCGAAAGACAATAAATACCTTCTACATCTTAACACCAGATTGCTACACATTGTCAAGTCTTTTATGTTATAATCTTTAAATTTCAAAATTTCTCCATAAACCTAAGTGAATTTCCACGTTCCATCTCTAATAATGTGCGTCCAAATATGCCGTCTATATGTCTTCTGCGTTCACGGCAGAACTTAAATGCCCTTTCTTTATCTATATAAAGTTCAACCCAATTTGAACGTAAATCCACTGTGTCACATTATCATTATTCTGTTCAATATTTCCCGTTTTATTGGAATATGTTGCTCCTAAAATATCCAACTATTGTTCCTACAGGTTTTACCCTTGCTAAAACTTTAAAACCGAATTATCTCTATCTTAATTCAAATTAGTTGGATTAACATTTATTTATGTATTCCTTGCCTCCTAAATTAATTTACACTTCTTATAAAATATTTTCAGTCCTTCTGGAAATTTGTTTCGAACTACTGATTGTTGGTGTTTTAAACTTTAAAATCGAAGATAAACCCTGTTTTATGCCTCTCTGACTTAATTCCCTTTTATGTTCTCCGTGCCGCCTCTAATTTGTCCGGTTGATATTGCCCGTTTCCTGGAAATATAAATTCAAACATTACATCGAGAGGTTTTACATTTTATGCACGTCAACCATATACCACGTTATGTTTCGCTGCTCTGGAGAGAGAGATTGAGAGAGAGAGAGAGAGAGAGAGTGAGAGTGTGTGTTAACGTCCACTTGACACAAAGTTGGTTATTTCGGGACTAACAATATGGTTCAGTTTTATTTCAATAATTCGCTTGCGCGTATATAGGAGTCTTTAGCAGTGGAAGGAGAACCCGGAGAAAACCCACGAGACCGGACAGGTCGACCTACTCCTTGATTCAACGCACACGCGCTAACCATTCGGTCATCCAACTAGCGTAAGATTGTGTATGTTATTGTTTGATTTATTGGGTCCATTCATTGTATTGTCTCTGTAGTTATCGCGTGTTGTTTTTGTTTGGTTAAAGATACATTCAAGCGAAAAGTTCATATTTTTAAGTTATATTTTTAAAATGTATTAAAATAAAGCACTAAAATAGATGGTATCTATAAACAGTCGTACCTCGTTAAAGAATAATCCTATTAATCCTATAATTCACTATTGCCAGTTGAGAAATTGGCAAAAATATCATTTTCAACTTCAAATTCAAACATTTGAAGTTAGCTCTTCCATGGCGGGGCGGGGATAGAAAACCAAGGGAGGTAATTGTGTCATACCTATGATCGTATGATAGTAAGTTGACAACCTATTGAAGAAAAGACATAGAAATAATTATGTTTTGACTTTCTTAGAAAATATGAAGTACAATATAAGAGCTAAATCTGCTTAAATCAGGTCTATCTTTGTCATCAAATGTTATATGAATTATTATTTAGACAATTATTTATATGCCAAGCCTATAATGAACTCTCTGGACTATCCAATGGTCGACATTTGTCAGTGGTGTAGAAAGAGGGTCTGGCAAAGGACAACGTACAGTGGTTGTGATGAGACGAAATTCCGAGGTACCGTGTGCACATTGGCATATGAGTAAAAGATCCCTGGCACTTGAAATTCAGTAGAAGAGTAGGCTTTAGCATTGCTGTCCGGGCAACAACTTCAACATAGCACACTGTATGACGTATGTCCGACTTCATTAGCCCAGTAGAAGCAGAACAGTAGGACGTTAAACCCCATTTAATTTCTTTGAAAAAAAAACGTCAATAAAATGAATCAATATGCGTGGTGATTTATGATGTTGAACGGAAAACTGTGTAATTATTATAATTAAATCAAGTGGTTTTGGATGTTAATTGATCACACATGGATTCAGTCGATCACAATTCAATACACAGTCCTGTTCAGGTCTTATAGGTCAACATCCTTAAGGGATGACATGACGACTCAGTGAGTAAACTAGCTCACAAACCAGGAAGTCCCGTGTTCTTTCCGGAGTTGGTCGAGACAATTCGAACGGTGGTTTCCATCCTGTATTCCTCTTGTCAGTGGTGTCAGACTGTAGCATTGACGTCATATGATTGGTCAGGGCCGCAATGACACACAGTTTGAGATTTCCCTTTAGTGCAGGAGCCGCGAAAACCAATATAAGCAATCGACAAACTGATCGTGCACGTATATCAATATTCGGATGAATGCAGGGGCTTGTCAACAAGCCGAGTCGATTAATTTGATTGATACCATAGCTTTATTTTCTTATAGTTTTACTGGAATTATAAAGTGTTAGACATTTTTTTTTTCATAAAAAAATACATATCGATACAGTGATGATAGCGCTGTAAGGGTAATTCAGAGTCTTTGTTCTACGATTTACAGAAATATTTAGTTTGAAATTTTAGAGTTGGTAGTTTTTGTTTATATCTAATTTTGAAACTGCCACGCCCATTTTTTTAATGTTGAAATCTTATTACCGACATTATTTTTTTTTTCTTTTTGTAATAGTCGTAATTGAGATAGCTATTGGAAATTCTGCGACAACTTTCCTAAGTATATGAAATAAGTATAAACACGAAGATTTTTTTTTTACTACATTAATTATATTTTTAAAAAGTATATTAACAGAGATGTTTTGGGGTAAACAAAATTGGGATTTGGGGCCTATTAATGGAATTTATTTACTTTTTTTTGTAATAGCTGTAATTAAGATGGCTGCTAAACTGTTTCAATGGCATTTAGTATTCCATAGAATTGTGACCTGTATAAGATGGCTGCTGGAAATTCTGTGACAACTTTAACTGTATATCTAATGTAATTTAGTTAGTTGGCGTGGTGGTTAGAACGGCCTGTTACTCAATTACTTATCTTTATTAATTTACATTGCTGTATTCAACTTTCGTCGTCAAGAAACATGCACATCATCATATTCTTAAAATATCACAGGTAAGTAACATAAACCACCCGATTAGATTTTATTACATACTTCGAGAAGGTATTTGTTGAGTAATAAAATCTTCTAGTAGTTTATCGAGGGTTGGCCGTCCTTACCGCACGGTACAAATATTATCACCACTAGAAGCAACAAATTCCAGAACAAGCCAGAACTCATACCAAAATGGCCGCTTTATACAAATGAGTATTTAGGGGAATACTAACCCGAACCCTAACCCTAACCCTTTTAAGAGAAGTAAAAACTAAATTAGACCCAAGTTCAGTCTTTTAAAAAGGGTTAGGGTTGGGGTTAGTTATCCCCAAAATTCTCATTTATATAAAGCGGCCATTTTGAACTCCGGAAGCACCCGAACCTCGATAAACTACCAGAAGGTTTTATTTGTACCGTGTGGTAAGGACGGCCAGCCCTCGATAAACTACTAGAAGGTTTTATTACTCAACAAATACCTTCTCGAAGTATGTAATAAAATCTAATCAGGTGCATAAACATATATGAAGCAAATTTATATAAACTTTTAGCTTGTTTTTGTATCATATCTTTAAATCTGTAATGTATTATATGATATTTTATGAATAAATATTGTTTAAACCAACTTTTCTTAGTATATGAAATAATTATAAACACGAAGGTCGTATTTTTTACTTCAATTTTTATATGTTGTGGGGTAAATTTTGAAACTGCCTCGTTCATTTTTATGTTGTAAATTTTGGTACCGATATTTTATACCTGGAAATTATTGGACGCTTTTCTTATAGGGGCATCAGATCAGATTAGATACAGCGTTGACAGTTCTCGCTATAATAGTTAAAAATCGATCTATAATGAAAAGCAGAATAATATATTACTAATTTCTGTTAAATTGCTTCACTCTGAACTGAATTAGATATTAATTTTTAGGCTAGCCTCGATCATCATTATTAACGTTGGTACGATGATAAACAAAGTCTCGATTATCAAAGGCTAGTCTGGAGGTCCCGTGTTCGATCCCTGCATAATAATAATAATAATAATAATAATAATGTCTCAAAATCCAACCGAAGCTGCTCTTTGGTAACATTATGGTCAATTAAAACAAAAACACTAGTTAAAAAATCAACAGTTAAAAGAAAACGGCATTGGCCGCGAAAGTTCATCGGGGTTTCCGACGTGGTTTCCCCTTTTCGGTGTTGCAGGGCAGCTGTCTAGTCGTTCGGATGGGACGTAAAACTGAGGTCCCGTATACACATTGGCGTTAGAATTGGTAGTAGAATTAGATATGTTGATGCTGATCATTTATTACCGTCATATGAGATCGATTGTAAAATTCTGAAAATGGTTACAACTGGAACTGATGCGCCGAAACCTAATAGAATTGATGATTACATGTGGCATGTTCCAGATATTAATCGATCTAATGATAATGTTGCTAAAAATGGACAACCTAATGCAGCAATAGTCAAAACAAAACGTTCTTCAAGACCAAGACGTAATACACAGAAATTGAATCTATGAACTTAATATGCTTGAATGTGTTTTAGGACTATGTTGTATGCCTACTGTAAACACTAAATGATACTAACAAAGGATAAAGTATAAAGTATAAAGTATCAGTTTAGTTAAATTGTATATTGACACTTATCTAAGGGGGGAGGTAGAGTGTAGGATATGTTGTGCATCACGTATGATCCCGATTTGCACAGTGTTGTATCACGGATTTACCCCCACTGTGCCAGTTTTATTGTTTAGGGATTAATCAAATAATTAACGATACAACAATGGGGATTAGTTAGGATTAAGGGTTTACCAGAGGATTAACAGTTTAATTTAATATTTTATTCCATTTTAAATCTACCTTTTTTTACACATTATTATACTAAAATACAATATTTAAAATTTTTAGCATATAATGTACAAGTTATCATTTAAACATTTTATTTAATCAAACATTTTTCTATTAATAATACATCTTCAACAAAATACATCTTACAATCCAACTAAATGGGAGACAGCATCCCCGTACTCGATGACGGTGTAATGCCCTTAATGGAGGCGCCGCTTTTCTGTTACCAGTCTGCCTTCCAACTGCCGGTACTTCCTTTTTCTGGGTTTGCTAGAGGCACCAGCAGCAAGCTGTTTCAGGGTTACAGCGACGAATGCCTGTTCTTGCTTGATTAGATGGATAAAACAAAATATATTGGGGTGGCTGGTTACCAGTTTGTTCATTTTCGAATGCCATCCTTCAACGT